ATGCCATGCAAACTAATGTCTTACATACTAGTGTCATTTTAGAGCTTCAAAAAAGTTGCAAACAATTTCTTTGGAACCGAGTTAATAGATCTAGATACATACCTAGAACAAATTGGAGGGTTGTTTGTGATCCAATGGCTAAAGGAGGGCTTGGTATAAGGGACTTAAAAAGATGGAACCTATCCTTCATGGCTAAACTAGGTTGGAAAATATTAACTCAACCTTCTAAACTATAGGTCCAAATTCTAACTAGTAAGTATCTTAAATATAGCAACTTCATAGATTATAATCTAAAACCTATTGACTCTATTATTTGGAAGGATATTTTGGCTAGAAGGGATATTCTTAAATTTGGAATCATTATTAATGTTGGAAATGGGGAGGACACCTCCCTTTGGTTTCACCATTGGATTGGTGATTGTCCTTTATATCTTACCCCCAACATTTATATACCTAATTCTAAGGGTCATTGGCATGTGTCCAACATAATTAAGAATAAGATAAATTTGTTAGAAAGGTACTTATATATTCATTTTTTTGTGAAGAAGGACCTTATATGTTCAAAGTGGTGAAAAAAGGCCTTATAAGTCACTTTTGTTGTGAGGAGGGACCTTGACATCGGAATATGGCCATTGATTTTACTTTTCCGGTATTGACCATCACTCACATGGCACGTGATTTTTTAAAAGGCCCTTTCGTTCATTTTTCCCCAAGTTTTCACATTTTCTCTCTTACTATCCCCAAATTTTCTTTCAAAATCCCTTCTCTTTCCTTAAAATCAAGAGAAAAAAAGAAGGAAAATACATTTTTAAAACATCACGTGCATATTGCATGATGGTCAATGTCGGAAAAGTGAAGTCGGTGGTCATATTCTGATGTCAAGATCCCTCCTCACAATAAAAGTAACTTATAAGGACCTTTTTCACCACTTTGAACATATAAGGCCCTTTTCCACAAAAAGGTAAACATATAAGTACCTTTTAGAAAAAATTTCCTAATAATAATAATTGGTATTTAATTGATGCTCAAGACTGTATCCCAGCCTCTATTTGTGCCTTAATTCTTGCCCACCCCCTTCCTACTCTTGTTCAGATTTCTGGTAGACTTAGGTGGACCCTAGAAAAAAGTGGAAGTTTCACTATTAAATCTACTTACAACTCTACCTTGCCTCTATGCAATCTTCAAAGTTCTTTTCTTTCCAACTTTTCTAGGAAGAACATGTGAAAGGTTAAGGTTCCTTACAAATATAAATTTTGGGGTTTTGTTGATGAAATTCAAGGTATGTTGTTTTTTTTTCTTCTAATTTTTCGTTTTTTGCGATTTTTTTTAAATTTTATGATGGTGGACTCGTGTGTGGTTTATGTCAGGAAATTGTGGTGGTGGTGGTGGTGGGTGGGTCGGGTTTAGGTGGTCCATGGTGTGGGGGGTTAGGTTTAGGTGAACTGTAATGGGTGGGTTGAGATCTGGTTTAGGTGGGCCGTGGTGGGTGGTTTTAGAATTTGATTCAGTTTGGGATGGTTAGGTGGGGTGGGTTAAGGAATTAAGGTGGTGGTTCTAGTTAGGCGGGGTGGGTTACGATGGTGGGTCTGGTTAGGTTAGGTTAGGTTAGGTGGGGTGGGTTACGGTGGTGGGTCTGGTTAGGTTAGGTGGGGTGGTGTTGTGCGGTGGTGGCTAGTGGTGGGGGTAGTGGGTGGTGGTATGGGTTAGGTTGGCTTGTGCTGGGGTTGGTGATGTGTGGTGGTGGCTGGTGGTGGGGGTGGCTTTTTTTTTTGTTTTTTTTTAAGCATTTTCCGACGGATTTTCCATCGGAAGTTTCCGGCGGAATAGAGTCCGTCGGAAATTTCCGACGGACTATCCCAGGCCCGAAAATCCCTTCAGACGGACTGATTTCCGTCGGAAAATCCGTCGGAATTTTCGTCGGTAAAGTGCGTTTTTCCGACAAACTGTATTCCGACAACCAGTTGACGGAATTCTGTCGGAAACGGGTTTTCCGACGGAAAATTTCCGTCGTTATTTCACTGTTTTCTAGTAGTGATTTTACCTATAGGAGCTTCTCTTAAGATAAAAATATTTTGTTTTGACCCCATCTGTATGAGATGTGAGGAACCTATAGAGGATTCCATACATATTTTCATAGATTGCCCAAACTCCACAGCCTTTTGGTCTTTGATTTTTCAAAAGTTTGGTTAAACTGCTGTCGATTTACAAAAATTTTACAACTCTAATCTTGCGGACTGGCTTGCTTTAAATCTCAGTAGTAAATCTTCTTGGAAAACAGTTTTTATGATTGCTATTTGGGATATTTGGAAAACTAGGAACATGACTATTTTTGAGCAAAAAATGATTTTTTATAAAATCTACCTTTAACACGTTCCAAGTTGATTATCTTTACTGTCTTAAATTAAAGCAGGGTAATGTGGATATCCCAACCTCTTCTAGTGCTACAATCGGCAGAAAATTGGTTCCTCGTTAGAGAGGTTATTTCAAGCTCAACACAGATGGATCCTGGTTCACCTTTGACAAAGCTGGTGGGGGAGGAGTTATAAGATGTGACAGGGGTTTGTGGCAGGAAGGCTTTACTGTCAACTTCAATGCCATGAGTGCAATTGTTGCTGAACTTAATGCTATAAGGGAAGGACTTCTAATAGCTTGGAAAAGGAAGATTCAGTATCTTGAGCTGAAAACCGATGCAGATGCTCTTACCAAGATGCTGAAGCAACCAGAAACTTATGAGGACAGTGACTTGGGCAACATCATTAAGGATGTGGCTTCTCTCCTGATATGTCTATTTTATATAGTATTTTACCCCCGTCCCTTGGTCATAATTAGTAGTGTTTTTGGCTCTTTTGAGCCACTTTTATTACTAATTAGTGTTTTATAGTGTTTTCGTAGTTTTGGTTGAGTTTTGCAGGAAATTGCACTTTTGGAGCATTTTTCCGGGTTTTCATGGATCAACTACGGAAATTAGAGGAGCACGACCATCTTTGAAGCACAAGGCCGGTTAGAGTCATCAAGCCGGTGATTAAGGGCTCGGTAATCGGGATACCGAGGTATTTGGACCGAATGATCAAGACCCTAAGTGGATATCCAGATTGGGCCGAAGAAATAAGCCCAATCGAAGTTCCAAGCCTCGAGGTGAAGCAAGGGCCCGATCGGGCAAGTTTAGCTCGATCGGGCGTGGCGCGCGAGAGTGCTGGTGCGTGGCCAAAGGCGCGCCCGATCGGGTGAGCTGCTAGCTCGATCGGGCGCGGATGTTTAGAAGAATACACAGAGAAAAAGGCGGGCCCCATCGGGCGGCCCTTCGCCCGATCGGGTGCGTGTTTTTTAGGGGATCTGATTAGTTTTCAATTAGGATTTGTTTTAGGGAGGTTTAAGTACGATTTTTTGTACGTAATTTTAATTACCTTCTCTTTTAGATTTTCTCTCTCTACTTAGCTTTTAGATTAGTTTCTCTCTCATATACTTTGTTCTTAACTTTATTCTTAAATCCCAGATTTATTTAGTAACGATTTCTCTTCTCTTAATCTTAGTTATTTATTTTATTCCTTTGATCATGTTTTGTTTTATTACTTTGATTTGTTCAGATTTAATTATGTGTGAGTAGTTTTATTTCTAGGGTTTGTAGGGATCCATAAATAATATGAAGGGGTAATTTATTGTTGTTAATTGTCAATGCTAGATTAATTTCCTATTGATTGATTGAATGCTTTGTGACTAGATTTGCGCAGATCTCTTATGCATGAGTTTAACAATATTGATTCGAGATTCGACAGATGAGAATTGATGTTTAGGTCTAGTTTCAATAGGCAGGTTAATTTATAAATGGTTAAGTCGAAATTCGAGAGATGAGATTTAATACCGGTAAATTAATTGTGTGATTGTAATACGTAGCGAAAACCCTTTATGATCTGATTAATGTATGCATTGATAATTGATTATTATGTTTTACCCTCGAATATTATTTATTGGTGAACCTATGCCCTAGGCCTTTTATTCATTGTTTCTCCTCCTACTTTTATTCTTTCCCACTTTTACTCTTAATAGTTTAGTTTCCTTCAATTATTATATTTTGGTTACTTTATAATCTAGATTATATTAATTAATTAGGAATAGAAAGACTCGTTTCTCTGTGGATTCGACCCTACTTCCCTATCTACATTAGTTAGAGGATTTAGGAATTACTTTTGATTAGGGGATACGACTTTACCCTGTCAACTCCTTGAGAGGAACTGGACGATAACTGTTTTCCATGCTAGCAGATCTGTGAATATGGTTGTTGATAAGCTTGTAGCCATGGGAAGATCCAAGGTCTGAACTGGAGAAAAGAGAACTACTTCTACCCTTATGCTGAGCTGTTTGATACTTATGCTCATGAAATTCCAGATTACATGGATGCCGCTTGAAGCTAATGATGATGATATGTCCTGCAATATTTTGCTCTAAATGTGTTTACTTAGAATCACTTTTTGTGAAGTCTCTGCAAACTTCTATTAACTACTATACTAACTTTATTAGCTATGTTACTATGCTTTTGAATAGGCTAAGGCTGCTACACATGCACCCTCCTATTCTCATTTTGAACTTGTGGTTTAAAGCCACTATAATGTAATATATATTTCCCTATTCCGTAAAAAAAAATAACATAGTCATGATTTAAAAATTGCAATGGTTAAATCCTATGTCATAATAGAGTGTCGATAGAGAGTGTGAATACTTTGCTATATAAAGGATTCTAGGAAACAAGAGAAAGATAGGCTTGGAGAGAGTTTCATAGAATCATAGGAAACAACAATAGATAATAATACCATCCTTGAGCTGTAACGTGCTTTATTAGAGGTTTAGAAAATCCCCTTTGTAACTAGCCACTCCAAATACTGCTCCATTACATCCAAAAAAAAAAAAAAAAAAAAAAAAAAAAAAAAAAAAAATTTGAAATGGGCTTACTGTCACTGCTAAAAAAAAGGATTTCATTAGAACAAGGCCAGCCCCCTTCTCCATTTTCAAAATAGCACCAACAATTAACTTGCTCTCTGCCCCAAACCTCAGCCACCACCTTCCGCCGCTCCCATTTCCGTCCAACTACCGTCGCCCATCCGCCCACCCGCCCACCGCCGTCGCAATGCTCACTCTCGGTGGCAGAAATCGAACATGAATCATCAACCTTTATTCCCCATTTTCCCTAATTTCTCTCATTCATCAATTTTCTAATCCCAAAACCTCTGCAAAAACCTAGATTTTCTACTATGAGAGTAGCTACTTTGATTCAGCGTCCCTTTTTCGGGCATTTCGCATCTTTTAGCAAGCTGATTCAATCACGTCTATCCACTGAAAAGTCCGACCCATTGACCCAAATTATCTCAATTCTTGAGAATTCTAACCCCATTGAACAATTTCTTGATCCAGTTGCCGACATTCTCAATCATCGTATTGTGTCATCAATCATGACAAAACCCCCAAATTTTCAAGTGGGGTTTCGATTTTATATCTGGGCAATGAATCGGAGGTCGCTTCGAGCTAGGAGTTTGAATGATTTGGTCATTGATATGATTTTGAAGGAGAATAGTGGGTTTGATCTTTGTTGGGAAACCCTAGATGAGGTTAAGCAATGTGGGTTTGATGTCCCAGCTGAGGTGTTTTTCGTGTTGATGTCGGGTTATTGGAAGGCGGGCAATCCAGAAAAGGCGGTCGAATCGTTTGGTAAGATGAAGGATTATGATTGTAAACCTGATGTTCATACTTACAATGCGATTATTCATATTATGGTGCAAAAACAGGTGTTTTTGTTGGCATTATCTTTGTATCATCAAATGTTGAAGTTAGATTGTAGTCCTAATATAGCTACCTATAGCATTTTGATTGATTGTTACTGTAAACTTGGGAAGATCGAAGATGCCCTTAATATGTTTGATAAAATGATAGGGAGTGGGATATCTCCTGATACCATAATTTATACGATTGTACTTTCGGGTTTGTGTTTAGCTAATAGGACATATGATGCTCAAGTTTTGTTGAATAAAATGATAAGTAGTGGGTGCCTTCCTGATTCAATTACATATAATGCTATGCTTTCGGGGGTTTGCAAGACGGGTGGGATTGATGAAGTATTCGGGCTATTGAAGTCGTTTCAGGATCAAGGGTATACATTAGGGATTAAAAGTTATAGCTGTATTATTTACGCTTTGTTTAGAGTTGGGAGATTCGAGGAAGCTAACTCGTGGTTTCGGAAACTATGTGAGGAAAATATAACTCCTGATCTTAAAGTATACACTATTATGATTCAAGGTTTTACAGAGGCAGGAAAGATTAAGGATGCTTGGACAATGGTTCAAGAGATGACGGAAAGAGGTGTAGTTCCAGATACTCAATGTTATAATGCATTGATCAGAGGGTTCTGTGAAATGGGTCTCTTGGAGGATGCACAGTCCCTTAAGCATGAGATGTCAGAGAACAATTGCTTCCCTGACACATGTACTTATAACCACCTCATATATGGCGCTTGCAGAAATGGAAAGGTGGAGGAAGCTAAGCAAATCTTTGAAGAGATGGAGAAAGCTGGATGCTTTCCTTCTGTTATAACATTCAATACACTCATTGATGGGCTATGCAAGGCTGGAGAATTTGAGGAAGCACGTCTCTTGTTTTATAAGATGGAGATAGGTACAAATCCTTCTTTGTTTCTTCATCTTTCTCAATGCACTGACCGTGCACTGGACAGAGAAAGCCTACAGAACTTGATTGCTAGGTTATGCGATTCAGGGTTGTATCTAAAGGCATATAGAATTTTAATAAAGCTGACTGATAATTGTGTTTTACCTGATATTACTACTTATAATATCCTCATAAATGATCTGTGCAAGAATAAAAACATTAACGGAGCTTTCAAGCTTCTTAAAGAATTACAATTCAAGGGATTATCTCCTGATTGTGTAACTTATGGAACCCTTATTGATGGGCTTTATAAAGTTGATGAAGAAGAGGAAGCAATTCGTTTGCTAAATGATATGATGAAGAGTGGGTGTTTGCCCCAATCTGATGTCTATAAGACAATAATGACTTGGTTATCCCGCAAGAGGAAGGTTTCAATTTCCTTTTCTCTGTGGCTGGATTACCTTAGAAGCCTTAAAAATCGGGATGATGAAGCAATTAAACTGATTGAAGAACAATTTGAGAGAGGAGAATTGGAGGATGCAGTCCGAGGGTTGCTGGAAATGGATTTTAAGTTGAACAACTTTGACGTGGGACCATATACAACATGGTTAATAGGGCTATGTCGAGTTGATAGAGTAGATGACGCTATGAAGATTTTTAACGTTCTTCTAGAATTTGGTGTCACTGTGGCTTCATCGAGTTGTAGGAAGCTAATACAGACTCTCTGCTCACAATCAAAATTGGATCTGGCTGTAAATGTTTTCCTTCATACTCTAGAAAAAGGGACAATGGTGGAGCCATCAGTTTGCAATAGGTTACTTTGCGCTCTCCTGCGTTCTAAAGCCTTTGTGAATCGTGCTTTTGATATTCTAGGCAAAATGGATTCAATGGGTTATGACCTAGATACTCATCTTGAACAAAGAACAAAGTCACTCTGGCAGTATCATTTATACATGCAGGAATCAGCGGTGGCTGGCTAATTTGTTCCCCTTGGATTCACCCGAATGAAGGTTCGGTGTATCAACAGAAGCTTTGTGTTTTGAATTGGTAAGGTATTTTGATAAGTCCATACTTATTCATGCTTGATCTTTAAATTTGCTTTTGTCATACATTTAGAATAAAACTTCTAGTAATTACAATAAAACTTCTAGTAATCTTAAGTTAATACACACATTATAAGGGCTACTTTGGCTATTGCTTAGGGCACTACTTTGTTGTTGAGCAGGACTTCCAGTGAGAATCATATTACTTAAGAGCTTCTGCATAAGTGCAGGTGCTATATAAATTTTGTAGAAAAATTAGGTATCAATAAAAATTGTTCATGATGATAGATAAACTGGTGCTGGAAGTTTGCTGCATCTGATCAATTGATCAGTTATAAGTCTTGATATATAATTCAATTCCAAATTTGTTAACTGTCACAGGTGTGACTTTGGAAGAATAAGCTCCCAGCTCTGTTGTTGCATTGGGTAGATCAGACGTGGTCTTGATGAGGTATGCTATATGCTTAATACTTCCTCCGTTTTTAACAAGTGCTCCATTAGCACCTTTTGCAATATTCACTTGTCCTACTTTGACCCATGTTTGTAATTTATACATAAGAAAAAATATGTATAAATTTATTAGTGAATAAATTATTAATTTTCAATTGTTATAATTTATACTTAATGATAATTAAAGATATTATTGGTCAAAGATTTGCATTGGCATATGTGCCCAAGAGAAATAGAGCACTTTTCAAATAACGGAGGGAGTATTAGATAAGAAAGAGGTTAGTTTTTCAATATATTTAACATATACTTGTTAAAAAACGGAGGGAGTATTAGATAAGAAATGGAGCAGATATTATGTCTTGCACCTGAGATCATGTTGTGATCCTGGATGAACAGATAGTTTCAACTTTTAATATATTGAACATATACTTCAATGATTATGATATGACCATATTTTCAATTTTTATAATTATGAATTATATTTTTGATTCATTGCTGAAGTAATAACAAAAGTGTTCGTAATCTCTTAACTATTTGTTCATAATATATGAACCAAATGTACATAATATTGAATTATACTGAATTATACCAGTTACATATTCATAACTTTGTTAACTAAATGTTCATTGTTATATATTATTTGTCCATTCGGAACCATAAAGCATGTGTGGTCCCTGGTGCAACATATTATTTTTCACTAATGGGGTACTAAGTTGCTGAGGATGATTAGCTCTATGGTGCTTTGAGGCTGGGTAATAAAAGATATGCACCTTGGTAACTTGTTATGCTATGTTGCTACTGCCTTTATAATGTTTAGGAATTTCAGTGCTCTTTGTATGTAGGATTCTACACAATGCTATGGAGAAGTTTTGTGATTTTGCTGCTTATTTAGTAACATAAGATTCTCAATGAATATTTCTTTTAGATAGCCTTGCGAAGGCTTCACCTCTCACCTAATGCCTAGTTGGTAGGTTCCCTGTTGCTTTGATATCCATCATGCATTTTTACAACCCTCATCCATCTTCAATCTGTCTTCTTACAACTTAGGTTATTGTACGATAGGTGCATGCTTTAGAACCTTAAATGCAACTTTAGGCTTTAGATTATATTATGTCAGTACAGTTGGTTCCGGGATCAGTTTAGAAGTCCTTTTTAAAAGGCTGTTGTGTTTAGCTTTCAATGCTTCAATATTAGTCATATGATCTTACTGAATTCATAATTAGAGATTGAAAATGATGAAGGCATAAGTGCAACAAAGATGAGAATGTCTTCTTTGGCTGTTGTGAATTAGCTCCTGGAATTGAAAATTGTCAAAGTTGTGGGTGTAACCTTTTATTCTCATGAGAATTTGGTTTTTATACCGGTCCCTTTTAATTTGCATGTTGCTACATGTGCTGAGTGCTGCAGGTCTTCTGTTTTACATGGAAGATCAGGAGGTATGAAGTTTATCTAGGCAATTGATTGCCAAGAATGCCAACACAAAACCTTCTAATTTGAAAAAAGCCCTTACAGAAACTAAACCCTAAAACTTTATGAGTACAAAGAGGCTAAAGGAGAGAGTGTTAAAATGGCAGAGGTGAAGACAATTATTACTAAGCTTTTAAGGTAAAACCATAAGAACATGCATTTCAATCTCAGACCAGTTGTCACACACACACACACACACACACACACACACACACACACACACACACACACACACACACACATATATATATATATATAAGTAGTTTTGGAGTCAACTGACAATATTAAATTTAGTAATAATAGTGGCTTCAATGTCTCTGAAGGAATTAGCTGGCTCCAGCATCTTTTGCTATTTATATTTTGAACAGGAGATTGCACTGGAGTGCAGTGAGTCACATTAAAAAAAAAAAAAAAAAAAAAAAAAAAAAAAAAAAAAACTACGTAATAAAGAAGTGAGGACACTGAGCCTTCCTTTTTTTTTTTTTTTTAATTTCAAGATTAATATAAATAATTCCTTATATCTTTATCCCTGCATCTCTGAGAACTCATCTACAAAAGCTTTTCCTAATTCACATTAGCAGCCATTAATTTTGAAGTTGTTCTGTAATTAAATTACAGACTGAATTTATTTAAGGTTTTTCGAAAAAGAGTCAGTGTCTAAAATAATGGGGCCTCTACTACCTACCGTCCGCTAGAAGTTGGTTCTTCAAATGCTGGTGATGCTGCATACTGCAGGGACTTCTCCATTATCCACATCCATCTCAGGAGCTTCGTTACCCCCTTATTGTTAGTATAAACTATCAACAATTATTAATGTTTTCCACAGATTTTAGACACTATAGGTACTAGGTAGTAATAGTAGGTAAGCCATTTAAGTTACAAAGCTTGCAAATTCAGTATTGAACAGGAGGATACTGTACTGAGACCTTGAACCATCACTAATTTCAACTGCATTTGTTCTAGATTCTTGATGTGATGCATTTTTCTTTTTTTGTGCTTATGATCTTAGTAAAAAATCTGAGAATTTTACTGATGTATCATTTACGAGTTCTCGGCAATTTTGATGAGTTCGTCAAAGTATGTAAGAACTTAGAACATTAACCTTCACTTTGCATAACCAATTCAGTTGTTGCTATTGCTTAGGTTAACTGCGTGTCTGTGGCTCTGTGCATAAGGACTGAGCAAAAAGGTGAGTGGTAGGTGATATCCCGGGAATTAGAATTACTTCCCTAGAAACAAGCATGTAGAGCTGGGAGAAGAACCATATCAATCTTTTTCTTTCTTCTGCAAATGTCTGACTCTAAGTTTCACCCATCTAACTTAATGCAAATGTATATTGATTGTGGTGGTCCGGGGCAATTTAGTTTGTTTGAAATTTTGGTGTCTGGAAATAGGATCTCGATCATGAGGAAAGCCTTCCATTTCTGTTAAATGACTTGCCCTCTCCCGGCTCTTTCACTATTACATGTGTTTGTTCAACTGCTCTTTAGATGATGCATGATGTTATTTGGATAAGATTGGGTGGTGTACTAACTATTCAGTTGATTGAATACCAAAATGTTTTCTGCAAGTATAAAGTGAAAATTGAGGACACATCTGATGCATTAGGATGATACGCATTATCTGACCTCATGTCTACTGGTTTACTGGGAACAAACATTTTACTAATTAAGGTTGCATACATTTTTGACTTATGATTCCTCTCTGAATGTCTGATGTATGGGTGCTAACTGTTGAAGATATATGAAAAGTATTTATTTATCTCATCAGCACTTCTCAAAATGAGCAATAGAATCTTAATTTTCAAAGTGCATGGCTTTTTTTATGCTTCTAAATTATATCTTTGTCTTTGCTGCAGAATATTGTCATTAATAAAGTTCTTGGACCAGGATCTAGGGTCATGGACTCATGGTAGCAATGGAGAATGATCATAATTGAGCTCTGGTATTAATTCATTATGTAATTCTTTCATCGTATCTAGCATCTCTGAATCTTTAAATTTTATAAATTTATCTTCGGTCTTTGATATCTGTAATAGCTTTCGGTCACCATCCAAATTAACTACCTTGGTTTTCTTTAAACTCATGAGTTTTTTCTTAATAATATTTAGGAAATTGTCAAGTTGATGATGCTTAAAGCAGCTAGTCTTCTCTGTTGTTGATTGACAATTATTATGCGTGATCTGAGAGTAGGTTACTGATCCTTGCATTACACCTTGGTCCTGTTTGCAGACTATTCTATGACTCTATGTATTGCTGCTAAGATCATGATATCATGTGGCCTTTGAAGGGACATTACACCAGGTTGTCCAGTGTCTAGTCTACTACTCCTTAGGAAGAAGAGGGCATCTACTAGGGATATAAGTGTGATATGCTCCAAATTTGAGCTCCGTTGTTGAAAACTACTCATTTGAGGTACTAGTAATTATGTTTCTTCGAAGAGTTGTAGAGGCTTATAAGTTCATTTGTTCCGTTGCAATTGAACATGTTTATTTTGCTTTGTAGGGTGGTTCTATGCAATTGGAACTGCAGAGCATGGTGAAGTTTTCAAGTCATCTGAGCTTTGTATACCTGCTTTTAGGTGTGTTTCTGGTTAATATCTCAATCTTTTAGTTTCTGTTAGATACTTAGATTTGACAAAGGTTTTAAATAATTTCCTCTTGGTTATTAAAAAAAAAAAAAGGTTTAAAAGTAATGTTCTATTTCATCATTGTGCTGTTATAATTAGTTTCATGCTACCTTGCAATGTGAAATAAACTGTTTACAGGATGATAATGGTTTACTCAATGAGGTATTTATTTTTATTGGTTTATACTACGAGTGGGAGTTGTGTATTTTTTCTCCTTTTAGGCATTCAGCATATTTCGAAGGCCTCAATGAATTTTAACTGAACTCTTTGTTTCCAACCATTTTTGCATATTAAATTATCTTGTCACTTGTGAGAATGTGAGATTATGCAAATTGCAAATCTTATAGCTCTAGTTCACATTCAGGCACCTTTTGATCACATTGGTTGTCTTGCTGGTTTGAAAGAGTGCATTCACAAGGACAAGAAATTGAAGGTAACGGTCTAATGATAATTAGTTGTGTATTGGGAGTTTGGGATATACTTCTTTCATTGATAAGTTCTGCTTGGTTGCTTAGTTTGGCCATTCCTGCTTGATTGCAAGCATTAAGATTGGAGTATGGATTTTATCTTTATATAAGAAAAAAGGATTAGAATTGGGTTCCTGTTCATATCTTTTCATTGAGCCTTTACTCCCTAGCAAGTAAAATTTCATATTTCAGTGTTGGTAGTGATATTCGCTAATTCATCAGGGCAAAAATGCACAAGAGGTCTGCCCCTATCAAGGGAGGCTGGGAGCTGTACAAGCAGATCAGAGGTATATCTTCATTTTATATTGTTTATTTCTTCAAATGGAAGAGTGACAAAGCAATATCATTGCACTTGAGTCCGCTTCTGAAACTACTGAACCTGAACCTTTTGTAAAACAGGAAGCAGTGTTTGACTGAGCATTGCAGAAAGGCTAAGGTCTCAAGTGAGCTTTGTATCAAAACTTTGCTTGGTTCTTTTTGCTGATGAAGCTAGAAGAGCCAGCTGAAACACTTAACACAGGGTAGCTTCTTGGGAATGAAATGGGAAAATGACTTGATGTGCGACAGTTTTTTTTTTTTCTTGGAATAATTATCGAAATCACTTTTTTCTTATTTCTTAAATTTGAGCATAACTTTGATACAATTTGTAATGACGTGATGCGTCATTGATAGTCAACGTAATGAGATTAAGATTATGAAATAATTGCAGTGTTGCGGTTGCCTATTTTGCAGTCTGAACTTTTCTTTGTTTGTTGCTGTAGTCTCTTGCATTTGAAGTGATATTTCTTACTACCTCCGGTTCAAATTACTCGCAACTTTGAAATATTTTATATCTCACAAATAATACCCTAAAGTTGCGAGTAATTTGAACCGGGGGTAGTATTTTAATTTTGGAAGTTAGTTTTATCTGAAGTTTGTAATTTTAAGAGTCTTTTTGCTCTTTGAGTGTGATGGTGAGCACACTAGGGGTGGTTTTATATTCCTCGTTTTTGAAGAGGATAAGGAATGGAATGCAATGCTTGATTAGCTTCATCTAAAGCTTGGAAAATCCTTAAACTGTGTTTGGATAAAAAGGATAAAGGAAAAGAGGGGAGGGAGGAGAAGAGGAGGGGAGGGAAGAATGTTGAATTTTCCTTCCAAATCTCTCCATTGTTGGAGAGATCAATTTTCAACAATTTAATCTCTCCATTTCTCTCCCATCCAATTCCCTTCCTCATTTATTATCCAAATGAAAGATATTTCATCTTTCCATTTCCCTTCCCTTTTTTTCTCTCTATTTCCTTCCATCCAAACAAATCGTAAAGGAATTTGGGGCCATATTAAGAATTACCATAAGAAGATTATGAAGTTTCTTTGAGACTTTGAGAGCATTGAATAGTTGGCTGGAACTTTTTTTTTTTAATAAAATTTAACCAACAAAAGATGATGAAATAAAATAATACTTTCGTTAAGTTATGTGCATCGATTTGACATAAAATAGAGAGGAAAAAATATCTAATCGTTGCACATAATCTGTAATGGAGGTAGTAATTCTTCTATGTCATAAAATTGTTTCTACTACCTCTGATTACTTTTATACTCCCTTCGTTTTTAAATACTTGCTCTAATTCTATTTTTTGCACTATTTATTTATCCTACTTTGACTAATGTTTGTGATTTATACATAAGAAAAAATATAGTCTTGTGGGTATTTGTTGGAATCATCTCAATGAACAGATTATTAATTTTCAATTGTTAGAATTTATACTTATTAATAATTAAAGATATTAGTGATCAAATATTAGCATCGGCATGCGTGTCCAAGAGAAATGGAGTAATTATTTAAAAACGGAGGGAGTATGCTTTAAAGTACTCCCTCCGTCCCCGATTGATAGTCACTTTTGCTAACAAATCACGGGAATTAAGGTTAAATAAAGAAAGTACATTGAAAAAGTAAATTTACATTGGACATGTAAAAAATAGAGAGAGAAAGTAATTAAAGTACTTGGGAAAGTTAAATTTGCACAAATATTTTTGCAAATGTTAGAGAATTTTGGTAATAAAAATAATATTAATGGTATTTGAAAAAAAGCAAATGTGACTAACATTTCGAGTCACCAAAAATGGCAAAAGTGACTATCAATCGGGGACGGAGGGAGTATTATTTAAGAGAGATAAATAATACTCCGTATTTATTTAAGAGAGATAAAATATTTCAAAATTGCATATAAAAGTAATCGGTAATAGTGTTTGCTTTTTGAAGAGTTTTCGGTGCACACGTTTTCCTATGTTTTATACTTTTATATACTTCGGATTTATTTGTTTTATACTAATATCATAGATTCATACGGAGTAAATGATATTGACTTAGGGCGTGTTTAATTTTGATCTAATTTGACCAAACTTTACATTTAGGTTTACGATAATCTATAAAGGAAAAATATATCAAATAGGGCTTTATCGGATTCGTATTAACGTGTATTTTATTAATATGTAGGGCCTGTTCCGATTGACTGAACTCAGCTGAACTAAACTGAACTAAGTTGAACTGAACTTATTAATTAGTGATTTTTAACTACGGATTAGTGATCTTTGATTATTTATTGATTATTTATTACTATACATATGTGTATATACAAATGTACATATTATTATTATTATTATTAATAATATTATTATTATTATTAATTATTGATTATTATTATTATTATTATTATTATTATTTTAATTATTATTGTTATTATTATTATTATTATTATTATTATTTCAATTATTTATTGTTGTTGTTGTTGTCGTCGTCATCGTCGTTGTAATAAGAGCTGAAAAGAATGAAATTTGGCTTTATATCATTAGCAATATCATTAGACGTAAATTAAGAGCTGAACTGAACTGAACTGAACTGAACTGAATTTCAACGTAAGAGAACAGACCCGTAATTTTAATAATTTTTTTCACTACGAAAGTAAAGATATTTAGCGATAAAAAAAATGTACATATAAAGATGATCTAATTTGAACATATTATTTTAGATTTGATTTAATCTTAACTTATTATTTAAAATAAGTAATAAATAAGTTGATATAATGAAGGCCTTATTATCAAAACTTTTTTCATGTGGGATTGAGGCAAGGTATTCTGTAAGAGCAAAATCATCTACTCCGTATTATTTTACTTATCTATATAATTAGAGATATGACTATACGAGGGATTAATTGTGCATCGGTAAGTGTGAATGTTAAAGTGTTGCAATTAAAAGTCTAGGGTGGATATATACTACAACTGAACTATTTTTTCAGCCAATATCCCATACTACTTTACCCAACCCATCCAACAAAATCCCATCATCTGAATTGAGAATTTGAGATCTCTAAATTCTCCACTGTCATGTTTGTTAATGTAATAATGTGCCTTAGTGAAGAGTTGAAGCCTAAACCTTCAACTTCAAGTTATCAAGTATACAAAAGTGCCTCAAATTAAGAAAACCAAAATAGAGAATATAGCTCCTATTATGGTAGCTTTTAGCGGTTGAGTAGCGGGTAGCTGTTAAGGTAGCGAGTAACGATCAATTAGTAGTGGGTAGAGGTTAGCTGTCAAAGTAACGGTTGATAGTATGAGTGTTTGGCTAAAGTAGCGGTTGCAATACAAAAATATATCAAAATTCATATAAATATTGTTTTAAAGTTAATAAAAATTTGTCAAACGCTACCCGCTACTTCTAAACACTACTATTTTTAACGTTTGAGAAAAACTACCTAAATGCTACCTCTATCGCTAATCGCTACTATAATCGCTACCTAGCCAAACACTCTCAAATTTTTTCTAGCAGTGTTTTGACTAGTCAAAACGCTACCCGCTACCTCAAACGCTACCACCAAACAGGGCCTATTTGACTATTTGTCCCCTTGCTCAAGAAATTAGAAGAACAAACCTTATAAAACTCTCCAACCCCATCTCACCTTTTCATCTCCTCCCTTCCTTTCCTCCTCCTTTTCTTATTGAGTAACCCTCAAATCTCTCAAAATCCCCAAATCATTTTTCTCAATTTTAGGGTTCATCCTCAAAAACCCAATCAAATCATGGCGTCAAATTCATCAAAACCCTCCGACGAAGAACTAACCAATCAATTGCAACAACTCCGAACACAATTAAACAAAAAGCAAACATTCGAATCAGCAGTTTCATCAATCAAATCCCTCCTTCTTCAATCCTACTCCACCTCTTCTCCTTCAACCCAGAAACTCTTCTACGACGTCGTTTCACGCGTCGCAACCGTAATCCGCACTCGCTACACTTTCCCGGCTTACCTCCTCGCCGGCGTCGACCTCCTCGAGACCGCCGACCGCCTCACCGTCAACCCCGCTGAGAAAACCCACCTCAATTCCTGCATCACCCACTTCCGACAAACCCTAAATCAAGAAGACCCTGAAAATGGAGGTGAGAGAATTTCGCAATCGAATCGTAGAGGTGGGTACCTCTTTGAAGGTCATTTGACGGTTGATCAGGAGCCTGCGCAACCCAATTGGCTTGTGCAACAGAATCTGTTAACTGCGCTCGCTGCGCAGTCGCAAACCGCCGGTGAAAATGGTGATAGTAGCAATGATGAAGTCGTGGGGAGTTTAATGAGGGGATTGGTCGAAAGTTTAGATGTGTCAATGCTTGATAATCTGGAAGATTTGCTCCCACCAATGGAGGGAACGACTGGAAGGGTTGCGCCGCCTGCGAGTAAAGAGGTGGTGGAGAAGTTGCCGGTGATTAAACTCGAAAGCGAGGAGATGGTGAAGGAGAAGATTGGTGAAGAGGGGGCAGAGTGTTGTATATGTAAAGAGAAATTGGGAGTGGGAGATGAAATGCAAGAAATGCCGTGTAAACATTTGTTTCATCCGCCGTGTTTGAAGCCGTGGTTGGATGAGCATAACTCGTGCCCGATTTGTCGGCACGAGTTGCCGACGGATGATCACAAGTATGAGAGTTGGAAGGAGAGGGAAAAGGAGCTTGAGGAGGAGAGGCGTGGTGCTGCTAATGCTGTTCGAGGGGGCGAGTTTATGTATATTTAGATGATGTTTTTGATTATTGTGTCATTGTATCATTTTTGTTATTGACATTATTTGATGTTGAGTCAATTTATTTGTCTTCCTATATGAATTGTTATAACTGCAGTTGAATTCAGGTTGAGATTACATGTAATGTACCATAATGTATCACACATTTTCTAATACATACGAAGTATGTCATTTAAACTTGCTTACAAGTAGTATGATTTTTAAGCTTTCTAAAACACTACTCCAATTTTGTTAATTCCTAGTTTGATATCTGCAAGTGTAAGCAAAATACAGGAAATGAAAAACCAACTCAAAATGAAGTGCAAGTAGCTTAAGTTATAACCCATCTCAGTTCGATTAAATCAGAAAATACATTTTCCATCTCTCCTGTTAACGACAATGTCGGGGCGTTTGGATTGTGGAAACGGGAGTTTGGGGATTAAAAAGGTGGGAATGAGATTGAGAATTAATTGATGGGAATACATGAAAATATGGCAATATCTTGTTTGGATAGCGGGTGAGAATATATAGGAAATAAATAACAATTTTACAAAAATACCCTTACCAAGATTATTATTTCATTTTTTCATTAATGGCAAAAATGTCATTTTTCCCTATTTTCCTTCTTATCCATTTATTACCTACCCTCCATGATCCTTGGGTAATAAAATGGTGGGAATTCACCAATAAATAATCTCATTCTCAAACCCTTTTTTAATCTCATTTCCACCAAACAAACAAGACTTATTTTTTAAATTGGGATTAAAATTCTCAATTTCACCCTCAATTTCCACTTACCAAACACCCCCTGCAAGACAGCAACAAGCCTCTCATCAAAAAGCATTTGAAATTTTGTCAGCTGAAAGTGATGCAGGTTCCCTCTACACTTCTACGGCTAGGACTGTCCAAATTTGAAATTTTGTCAGCTGAAAGTGATGCAGGTTCCCTCTACACTTCTACGGCTAGGACTGTCCAAGCCGTACCCGTCCCCGAAACGTTTCCGGCACGGGAGATGGCAACCAGTAGACGAATCCGTGCAACATTGGCTTAATTCCCTGTCTACAGTATCATTGTTACATGAGTATAGGAGACACTTTAGTCCATGTTTTAAATATTTAATTGTATTGACCGAGCACGGGATTAGCACCTGCTTCCTGCTGCATATGATTTATGGGGATACTCTTGGGCTGGGCCTCTAGTTGGCTAATTACGGGATGATTTCTGGATTAGCTTGATGCTCAAAGGTAATAAGAGGAAATAGGGAAAGATTAGACCGAATCAAACGCAGCCTGCCGTGAATTTGCCTGGGTTGACGATTTTTTGGGCCTCAATTTGGGCTCGGGCCAACCTAACCTGAATTAAAAATTTGGGTTTTGAACATTCTAAAATTTAATTATTAAATTTTTTGGGCTCATGCTGGCCCAAAGCTTTAGTCAAAATAGGCTAACTTTTTTCCAAGGCAAAACGACCCAACTCATCAATGAGTAGGGATTAGGGAAGGAAATGGAGGGGAAAGTAAAGGGACTAAAACACACTAGTAAGCTTGAAAGGCTTAAGACCCACGGTTTCATTCAGATTGTCCACTACAACCACCATGATTTGGGAAGGGAGCAACTTCAAAATTGGGAGCCCTTCTTCCCCAAATTCATCATCCTTTCTACTTTTTTCTTCATTTTTTAAAATATTGTGGCTAGTGTTGTTTGCGGTGCAATTTGGTGCAGTTTAGATGCTAAATCAAAACCGCAAAATTGCGATTTGCACTTTTTTCAAACCGCACCAAATCGTACTTATAACTAAACTGCTTCAAACCGCACCGCAAAATGTGGTTTGGTGAGGTGCGGTTGCGATTTAGCAACATGTTTTAAAAAAAATTATATATATTATTTAGAAAGAGAATTAAAATTTAATTTTGTTGTTATTAATATATAATTTAAATATTAAACTCTTTTTTTAACTTTTAATTAGCTAATAGTAAAAAATTACATCGTATTTTAGGCTACTTCATATACTTTATAATGGAAATGATATAAAATTGGTATAACGGTTTGCGATTTGACGGTCCAAACCCGTTTGTGGTGCGGTTTGGTCTAAAATGTTTTGGAAGCCGCACCAAACCGCAAAAGTGCAGTTCGATCATTTTTGGAAACCGCATCGCAATTTTCAAACCCGCAAACCGCACCAAGTCGTAAAATTGCATTTTGGTGCGGTCCAGACCGTACTTTGACAACCCTACTCGTGGCACTTCCCTTAACAACTTGATCTTCAGGCAAATTTTCCCATTACAACAAGATTTTTTTTTTCCTCTTATAGCCAAGGGAGAATCACCTACCCGTCGTTTTGACTCCTCACAAGTATCATCAATATTTACGCAAACCTTATAAACGTCAAATTTATGAATCAAATATGACAATTGGGGGACCATCCTACCTATAAACCTTTCCATTTCCTTAAAAAAACTGAATTAATTTTCATTGAAATCCTATTGACTTTTCATCACTTATAGATAGATGTCGAGCCTCCAAAATAGGGTTTTGGGGTGAAGATATGATGAAGGATATGAGGGGTTGTGGTGAAAAGAGGGACTAATTCATGCACATAGGATGGACCATTATAACTAATAGGCATATAATTAGTAAGATCTAAATCACATACTAGCTTCATAATGAATTAACAAATGCAAGGAAAGACACAAAATTTACAACCATCTTAACTCAAATTAGTTGTCACTAACAATGGCGCCAAAATTTTTAACAGACGTTCAAACGCCTATGAAAAATACAAATCCTAATAACCTAACCTCTTTGACTAAGTAGATCTAGATATGGTGAGTAGGGTCAAAGTTTCGAGGAGTGAGCCTTTTGGGCTAGCATGGTCTCCAATACTTAAGGGATAACAAAACGAGAGAAGGATAGCTAAGATCAAACACTAAGGGGGTGTTTGGTAAGTGGGAATTGAGGTGGGATTGGGAGTTTTAATCCCAATTGAAAAAATAATCTTTGTTTGTTTGGTGGGAATGTGAAGAAAAAAGGGTTAGGAAATGGGATTGTTTACGGGTGAATTCCCACCATTTTATTACCTATGGAGGGTAGCTAATAAATGGATGGGAATGGGAATAGGGAGAAAATGATATTTTTTCCATTAATGAAAATAATGAAATAGTAATCTTAGTAAGGCTATTTTTTGTAAAATTGTTATTTATTCCCTTGTATTCCCACCCACTTTTTCCATTAATAAAAATAATGAAATAATGTGCTACCCCTTGTGCCTTCTTAGATCCGCTAATGATCTAATCCCTAATCCTATGAGATTACTCACATTATTTAATATAACTAAACATAAAATTTACACTTAACAAAGCACAAATACATAAGTTAGTAAAATTTAAAAGAACAATCAACCTTAGATGAAGAACATGAAGAACATTACAAAAAGTGTCAAAGAACATCAATCTAGGAGCAAACTTGAACAAAAATGAATTAAAGTATGAGAGAATTAAAGCAAGTAAAAATGCTATAATTTCTTTTCTACTTCTTTGAATTGAGCCTGAGACCAGTTATTGTGGAAAGCATTTGAGACAAGCTATCAACTTTAACTTTAATCTTAATATATTGAGTAAATTCAAAGAGATGGTTGTTTGAAGTCGGCCTTTGAATAAAACCCTTCTTATTGTTGGAATTAATTCCTACAATATACTTAATCTTCATATCAAATTAATCGGTAAAACATAATTGTGGAAGCGTACCTAATTCCATGTCAATTGATCGAACCCCTTCTTGATTATGCGTCTTATAGTAGGTACACACTCTAGGTTTTTCTCTATTGATGGGATATAACTAAGAGTCTATTGTATGTACTACTAGGGACCATAACCTTACATGTCTATTTATATATAGACCCTCTTTCCCTAATCTGCTCATTATGCATTAGAAAAGGTCCAACGGTCTCTACACATAAAGCTAAACCTATACTCTATAAAAAGACGTAACAAGCCGAATAATAATTACTTAAATGGATCACTTGAATTTTGGGCTAAACTACATGATAGCGTGTAAAGACAATCATCACCGTATAGTCCACATACATTATTATTGTATTTAGGTCCATAAATTTCTTACAATCTCCCACTTGGACCAAATACAATTACATGTTTATGATTCTTGATGATTGCATTATACTTTTAAACTTTATGAGCTCATAATACTATCATTTCCAAACGTCTTTAAACAATTCGGTCCATCAATTATATTGACATAGAGTCAAAGCAATCCAAGCATACAATTAACGTAACTAGACCCATCAATGGCCACAATGTTAACACAATCAATGACATGAATCAAGCATAGGTGTGTAGCATGGAAATAACATATATGTGATCTAAAATGTCTATTTCCAACTGCTGCACTTTAAACTTTAGCAAAATCACGTACGATATGATCTAATAGAAGAGTAAACCAAACTGAATATTTTATTTCTGCAGAAATACTTAAAACCACAATATTCAAAACGTGTTTATGTCATACAAGCAATAAGATAACAAACTCCCACTGAAACTATATATCCTTAGGTGGCATGACACCCATACGAGCAGTGTGCTCATGAAATACTTTGGGTATAAACCCTTACTAAGCGGATCTGCAATCATGGAGTTTGTGCTAATATGCTCTAAGGACAATTGTTTACTCTCCACTCTTTCCTTCACAGCTCTAAACTTGACATCAATATGCTTTGATTTTGGCAAGCCTTTGTTATTGTTAGCATACAATACTGCTGACCAGTTATCACATAGCAATTTGAGTGGTCTATCAATACCATTCACTATGTGACAAAATTCCTTAACCATTATGCATGGTTGGATGCCTTATAACAAGCTATGAATTCTGCTTCCATGGTGGAAGTAGCTGCAAGAGTTTGTTTGACACTTTTTCAAGAGACAACTCCTTTAACTATGACAAAGATGTAGCCAGATGTGGATTTCAGGCTATCTTGACATCCAGCAAAGTCAGAATCAGTGTATCCAACAATCTCAAGTTGATCTGACCTTCTGTAAGTGAGCATGTAATCCTTTGTTCTCTACAAATACCATATAAAACTCTTTACTGCTTTCAATGATCAAATCCTGGATTACTTAGGTATCTGCCCAACATTTCAACAATGTATGCAATATCTGGACGGGTACAAACTTAAGCATATGTACATAAGGCTCCCTACAGCTGATGCATAAGGGATCTTCTTCATTTCTTTATTCTCAAAGTCATTCTTTGGGCATTGAGTGAGACTGAACTTGTCTCCCTTAGCTACAGGGGTATCACCTGGTTTACAGTCTTGCATGCCAAAACTTTTCAAAAAAATTTTGATATAGCCCTTTTGTGACAATACAAAAGTGCCTAGATGACGATCTCGATGAATTTGTATCCCTAACACAAAAGAGGCGTCCCTAGGATCTTTCATCTCAAAGTGATTTGATAGAAATCTCTTGGTTTCGTGCAAATAGCCTATATCGTTGCTGGCAAGCAATATGTCATCAACATATAAAACCAGGAAAACATGCTTACTCCCATTGAACTTATGGTACACACAATCATCAACTGCATTTGTCATACATCATACAAGAGTTGTGTTGGCAACTTTCCCTAAATCGGGGTTCTCTAGCTTGCAGAAGTCTATCATAGCGGAATTAGAGGCAGTTACAAGCGTAGCAGTCTTCGGGAGGCATTCTCTAGCTTGCAGGAGGTCGTCAAAAATACAAAAATGCAGTAATGCAACAGCAGCAAATCGGTTATAAAGAGACGTGTGCTTGACGGTGCAAGATACACGTTTCTTAACTCTTTTATCTGTTTAACTAACGCTAGTTTGCAGGTATCAGTGTTACAAGAATGGTTTAGGATCGCAGAACGTTCTGAATCATTCTATGTCCCTATCGATACTTTGACTTTTGTTTTCGAAACTTGCGTTTCTCCAAACTCAGTCAAAGTGGGGGCTTCTGTAGACACCCATTTGTGTCTCCCCTAAACCAAACCCGGTGATGAGTACTTTTCACGCCGAATTGTAATCGAATGAAGTGAAAGTGTGGAAAGTTTAGTGTTGCGGATAGTTTTAATTTCTTTTCTTTTCTCTCTGTTTTTGAAAACCTATTTTAAGAAAACAGCCAATTCAGTTTGGTTGGTTCATATCAAGGGTCCAATAATAGTGTAGTTGGATGGGGCTTGAAAAGAGCTTTCCAACGATATATTATAAGTCCAATTCCGATGAATAATGAGGAAGTTATGGCCAAATTACTAAACAGGGCCCGGTTTGAGCCTTATATGCGGCCCAATGATCTAGATGAGGGCCTAATATGAATTTATCATTCCTAATTCAATTAGGAATGGTTTTAGTGTTCTACATTCTTCTAGAAGGTTCTTTTCATTCCTAATTCAATTAGCATTGATAAATTGACTTTTGTTGACTTTTTAGAGTTTTAATCAGAATAAAAGAGTGTTTTTGAGGAAAATACGATTTTATCCTCCTGTACGGTTAAATTTTATCTGAATTTAGAAAACGCGTAAAAAAACTGATTAGCGCCTAACGCCAGCATTTGCGCCTGGCGCTAAGCTTGGCGACTGGCGCTAAGATTGGCGCATGGCGCTAGCGTTAGCGTCTGGCGCTAACTTCGTTTTTTCACGTCAGAATTCTAGTTTATTTTTCTATCTTTTTGGCTGATTTTCTCTATAAATAGCCTCCTAAAAACTCCGTTTTGAATCATCTACAATCTACAATCATCAAATCTCTAATTCTCTTCTCTTTCTAAGCTAAAGCTTTCTTTTTCTCTCTTTTCTAAACCAACCTTCATACAAAATTCCGCATTCACAAGATCAAGAAACACCAAGCATTGTTCGAAGTTGCCTTCGCCCTAGACGTGAAAGGTTTTAATTTCTGAGTGTTTGGTCCCAAATCTTTATTTCAATTATTTAATTTAATTGTTGTTTATTATTTTCCTTGAAGTTACTAACGTGTGTATTTTGTTATTAGAAAGAGGTACGAGGCATCCAAGTAAGTGTTTTAATTGTTTAATTGATATTATGATATAGAAATCATGTCTAGGTTGTTATTATGATTCCTAGTATCATGTTAGGATGTTTTTCTTAATTGGATGTTTAGGGTGACAATAATAAATTCCTAGTATCATGTTTAGGGTAAAGAATATAATGTCAATTATGATTTCTATGATGCCTTTTATTGTCTTTCCTAATAGTATCATGTTAGGGCTATATATTTGATCTTTAATGTTTAGTGACATGCTAGAGTTTGTTATTAATCTTGTTAGTATCATGCCTAGGATCTTGCTATTATTATTATGCTTTAATATGATTATTGATTATAATTATTATTATGATTATTTTTATAATTGTTATAATTATGTTGCTTGATTATATTATTATTGTTATTGCTTGATCACACCCTTTATGCATGTTTAAAGGGAATTGGTACTTGTAATCACGCTTAATAAGATAATTAATAATCTTGTTTATGGTTAATTATGATTATAATTCAAGTGATCACCAATAATAGTTTATTTTTGCATTAAATTCAACCAACATAGATAAACAGGTTTAGGATTAATCCTATTGATTGCATGTTAGTCAGAAAGCGCACATAAATACGATCAGAATAAAGTAGAGGTCTATTATTAGGGCAGGTTCAATCTCTTTTAGGTTTTATTTGTACCTTCATCCCCGAACTACCAGTCATGGTTCCAAACCTATTGGAGTTGACGATCTCTTGGATCGTTAAGGGGTGTAACCTTCACCTCGTGAACGGTTTACAAGTTCCTAAAACTTGTTGGTGACTCTTTTGCTCTATCTTCTTTCCCTTTGGACGCCGCCGTACTTTAGTGTATGATCACAGTGGGGTTCAAGCTAGGGATAACGCTTGAAATATTCCTTACACTCACTTGTTATATGCATATGCAGGGAGTTGATGAATCAATTATGGAGACATTCCCCAGAGCTAGTAGAAGAATCTGATGTCAACACTTGTACAACAACTACAAAACAAATGGTTTTAGTGGAACAACTTTTCACAAGATTTTCTGGGTTGCTGCTGATGCTTACAATCCATATGTCTTCGACAAGGCAATGGAGAAGATTCATGCCTACAATCCAAAGGCCGTTCTATACTTGAACAGTACCACTGAGGTTTGGTCAAGGCATTAATTTGACCTAGCACTTTGTTGTGACCATAACACAACAAATTTTGTAGAATCATTAACTCTTGCACCAAGTCATACAGAGATCTACCTGTGTTAAAGCTTCTTGAAGGTTAAAAAAAAGCATTTTCTTTCTTGTTAAATCAATTTGTGAATGCAATTTCTACCTTGCTTTACTGTAACTGGTTTTCATTTTGTAGCTATCAGGCAATGGTGCATGAAAAGGATGGCTCCAAGGTTTGATAAAGCAACATCAATGGGGGATGGGGAGCTCACTGAGTATGCAACTAAGATCTTGCAAACAAGATTAGATGAGTCTAGGTTCTGCTATGCTACACCATGTCGGGGTGATGAGTTTGAGGTGAGGGATCAACATGTGTACTTTCCTATTAAACTTGGGGCTGGAACTTGTGGTTGTGGGAAGTGGCAACTTTCAGGGATCCCATGTAAGCATGTGCTTAGGATGATTTACCACCAAAGGTTGCAGGCTATAGATTTTGTGTCACCTTATTTCAAAGGGAGGGCATACAAAAGCACTTATGCAGAGCATATGCACCCAATGCCTGACCAAACTCAGTGGCCTTCATTCAACCTACCTGACATACTGCCACCCCAAGTGAAAAGATCTACAGGCAGACCTAAGAAGTAGAGAAGAAGAGGTGCAAATGAAGCAAGAAAAGGGAAGAGGCATAACATAGTTAAGTGCAGCATATGCAATGATTTAGGGCACAACATGTTGACATGTGCAGCAAAGAAAAAGATTGCAGCAGCTGAAGCAACAAGTGCAGCAAACAACAACAATGCAGAAGCTAAAGCAAGCACTTCAAAGCCCAAAAAGAGAGCAAAGAAAGCTGCTTGAACTCCAAAGCCCTGCCCTTTTGAATGCACAATATACTTGTTAATGGAGTTTAGTTTTTGAACATTATAATTCTAATGTGTGCTGTGTTGTGTTGGTTTTTTTTTTTTTATAAATATTCTGTGTAAACTTTTGGAAATACATTGTCTACAGTGGCCTTAATTTTTTGGATGACCAGTGGCCTTATTTTTGGATGAACATGATTGAAACAGGAAGAATTATTTAAAAGACATGTTCAAATTTACACTTTATTCAATTTCATTGTAATTACATTTTGTTCACTTCATCATTACAATCACAAATATCACACACATCAATAAACCTAATTTCAAAACAGAATTGAGAATTTTTAGCTGTTGTTTCACTTTCTTCTTCAATTGCTTCAATTCATCATGCAAATTGCTATGTCCCGATCCATCCCTATCATAGTAGCTTCCCGTACTTTGACCTTGTTGCGGCTTCAAAACTTTGCACCATTTGAAGCTATTACATAAGTCACACTTGTAATAAAGCCTTTGTGGATTTGATGTTGACTTCGAACTTCTAATCGCGTATTTTCTGCCACAACCGCAAAATTTGTTTGGAACGCGCACATATGCACACTCGTGTGTTGAGGAAGATGTGTTTGATATCAAACTCATGATTATGAAAGTAGGAGGGATGCAATGTGTGTTCTAAGTCTTACATTTATACAAGAATGTGTGTGCAACGACCACTTTGCCCCAACAATAATTCAAAATTGTTGAAAAAAACTAGCTGTTACTTTAGCGGTATACTGTGTAATAAATTAAATATATAAGTAATGGCATTTGGTGAAAATTAGTAATTAGTCAGTGGCATTTGGTGAATTAAGAATCCCATTAACGGACTGTTAACGTCCAGGCCTCATTAATGGCACGATGTGACATTATACTGTTTGTGAGTGACATTTGGTGATTTCTGAAAAGTGCGATGTCATTTGGTGAAATAGCCGTAAAAATCCTAAATCCGCCACTGATCACCGGATAGTCCACATACATTATTATTGTATTTAGGTCCATAAATTTCTTACATGTATTTCATTCATGGTTTTTCTCCTTGTTTTTTGAGATCTCCTAGGATATACCTACACGATCAAACAAGTAAAAATCATACCCAAATCCTAGAAACATTACCACAGTCCACAGAAACTAACTACTCCCTCCGACCCTAAATTACATTCATTTTTCTCTCTATTATGTGAGGAATAAATGCTAGAAAGAGGAATGTAATTTAGGGACGGAGGGAGTAATACATTTAAAAGAAACACAAATAGCAAGTTGAATAAACTAAGCAAAATCCATCTAAAACATCCAAATGATGATGAAAATTAAATGCCGCCTCTTTGTGTGTGTGTGTGTTTTTTTTTTTTTTTGAGTAAAACTGGTAAAAGCTAATTCAGTTAAAACATTTATAATTTCCTACAAACAAAAAAAATTAAACACTAGTAAATTTCACAAAATGTTGATTTAATGATTTAAAAAAGGTGTAGCCTAAAATTAAAATTATTAGTCTACACAAGTCGGTGGTGCAAATTAA